TCTGTCGTATTCGGCCAACTCTGACTCATATCTGATCTAGGCTTCCCTGCGCTGCCTAGCACGGCGTTGGCGTCCTTGCTTCAACTTGTTTTTTTCTTTCTCTAGCTTGTTTCTGATTCTCGGTTTCACCATCGTAGCCCTGGGCAAAGGGTGATATGTTGGATTCTGATTCATCTGATGACCTGACATCGGGCGCTTCTGGGGGGGCCAATGGTGACCGAGGACGGCGAACCATGAGTACTTCCCATGCGTGAACTGTTCTATTATTGACATTAGTTTCCATACTATCGGAGTTGCTGATAACTTTAGTAGAGGCCTCGAGGTCGCAGATCGAGTCTCCTTCTTGGTAAGGTAGAATAGCTATCGTCGTCGTGTCGTCCAGTTAGGTACTGCTATCCTCAGGAACAGAGCCCGGCCAGTGGATGATGCAGTCTTGAGATGTTATAGTCAGTACGAGACCTTCCTGAGCTCCCTTTAGTGGCATTCTAAGCACCGGGTTAAGGAATCCTCCGTACCATGCCTGATCAGATGTTGCCATGTTGTGGAATCTGAGCGGAAAAGGATCCGACTTCTTGAAAAGATTTTGTGTGTACTTCGAGTTGTATTCTTGATAGGTCAGGGCTATGTTCTTAAGCCCCATCAGAAAGGAACTCGGTTTCCCGAAAGAACTCGGATAAGACTCTGTCTCGGAAGCGGAGCCTGAATTCGAGTCGGATGCGTAAAGCCACGAAACTTGAGTTGAATCGGACACCATGAGTTGCGCGAATCTTCCAGAGATTTGGTCTGTCGTAGTCGCCGGAATAGAATAGTCTTCATGGTGTTTCGAATCTTCGAGGAGACAGCTTTGGAGCTTGCCATTGTCGTCCGCCTTGCAGATCCATGAGCCGAAGATGAAAGTTGATCCCGTCGAGAAGATCATGTTGTCGAGGTCCATCGAGCTCTCGGATGCAAATTCGCCGAAAGCCCCTACCTGGCGCGCCAGCTGTCGATGTTTTACCACCGGCAACCCGTCACAGGGTACCCGGGATGGTGATTTATTCGGAGGGGTATCGGCGTTTGCAGGAACTCGACGGTGAACGCAAGAGATAGTCAATTTATCCTGGTTCTGGCCCTCGACTGTGGTCGAGTAATAGCCCTACGTCCAGTCGGCGTTAGCCCTTGCGTTGTATTGATTGTGTGTTGTTGTGTTGTAGAAGTTGTTATCTCCCGTCTCTAGGAACCCTGCCCTCCTTTATATAGTCAGGAGGTCAGAATCCTAGTCGGTTTACAATGAGAGTTCTTAGTAGGATTATTGGATAATACTACTACTAAGATTACATGGGGAGAATCCTAGTTAGACTAGATCTTCTCTCCTCCTTGCGGGGTATCCTGTGGGTCCCGCACCGACAGTCTTGTCCTTCTTTTGTTCTTGAATTACTTATTGTTTAAGCTCTTGCTTTGCTTGTTGAGTGACAACTAGGATTACATGTAGAGTGCTTAACATATGTTTTCCTTCTTCCTCTTAAGGACAATACTCTTATTGTGAACTATGCTAAGGACTTGTTTAGCTATGATGGCCCAAAGGTCTTTGTAGTGTGTTTTTGTAATAGACTTAGGTGTCAAGGTGCTTTGGGGTTTAGAATTTGCATAGTCTAAGGTTGTTGCTTTTATTTTTTATAAAGCCCAATTCACCCACATCTTGGGCCATTCGGTCCTTACACAAGGGTAGCTTGTAATTTTGTTTCTACTCCTCCTATGCCCTTACAAATATCCCATCAAAGGGACAATACATGACATGATGTATTGTTATTATACGGATTACAAAACATATTGCAGCAAAGGATTGAAGTTATTAGAATTGAAAAAGAGGAGATTTCAGTTTTTGACTAGTCAGGTTTGAACCAAGAAACCGAACTTACTGCATTCTGTGTTTAATCCTTTGTTTCGCAGGTCTTTGGCTCCCATATCTGTTTAGTATCAGTTTTGCACTGTGTCTATACTTTAGAGGCTATAATTCTCTGATTTAGGATTACCACGAAATTGGAAATGCCTATTCTTAGCGGTTTTTGTATTTTAGGTTATAATTTTTCAGATTTGCATATTCATCCCACTCTAGACGTTGTACTCCATCCTTTCATGTATAAACATAAATTAAAAGTGGTTAAAGACTTTTTTTTCAAACCGTTCTCATCCTTACATGTGTGTACCACAAAGTGTTCCTCCCCGTGGGTCTTTGCTCCTGATCAAGATTCGATCAAAATACGTTATCTGTGCAAATATGTTCTGAGCTTTTCTAATTACATTGAAACTATATATATACCATCTAGTATATATGAATACAAAAATAAAAAAAAATTATTAACTGTGGCAAGGTACGAACACTTTTGCTGGTACTATCTAATATTAAAAAGGGAAGGGATGCTTCCATCTACTTTTTACTTCCTACATTGTCCTTGTGTCTTGCCTTGTCCCGTCCATGATCTAGACTCATGACCTTGCAAAACAGCACGTGTCCAGACGTTACAACATCTCCATGTCCTGTATTTGACCTAGAATCGGTACTTATATGAGTTAGAACAATGTACATCTAGACATCTAGCGATGATATGGGGTCTACCTCCAAGACATGTCCAGCGACGGTACGAAGCCCGATTCCAAGACGCGATTGTTGAATAAATCTTCTGAGACACAAATCATTTAAGTTACTGTGCAACAAGAGGTACGTTCCGCTACAACGTATAAGCATGTTTGGTAGTACTTCTTTCATCCTGAAATGTAAGGCATGCAAGCATTTCAAAATTTAAAGTTTGTTATATTTAACTAACAATGAGCCTAATAATCATATAAAAAGCTTATAATACAAAAGTAGTTGTATTAGTTTTTTATTTAGAAATTCTTTCTAATCATCAAACTTTTGTTCCTGTAAATTATATATTATAAGAGAAATCATAAATAAAAATATGCTCTTAAGGATCGTACTAAGTTAAATCACGTCTTATATTTTGAGATGGATGAAATATAATTCAAAATCAACTGAAATGAAAATTAATACGTGTAACGAAAAATATTAGTATAACAATTCAACTCTCGAGCAAACAACTAGTAGGTCGCGTGCTGAATCAGTCACCTCCTCTCACGGTCAGTCCGACACAGGCAGACCGCAGACAGCAGTCAGCAGTCAGCAGCAGTCCTAACTCGTAGTACGTTAACTTCGAATCTGTGCCATCAAAAAAAAAAAAACTTTGAATCTCTGTTAAGAAGTATAAGTCTTTACTAAGTACTTCCTCCGTCCTAAAACATAAATTATGTACGTATTTTAAAATTTAAACTTTATTATCTTTAACTAATAATTAGTCAATTACTCCGGTCCAAAAAAAAATGATATTCTATGATTTAAAATTTATCCTAGAAAAAATAATGTTCTGAGTTTTAGACATGTTATTGGCCCACAAATCCAACGCCAAATTACCAATTGAGTTGCGCTACTGATTGTTGCCTGCCTCGGATCTCTGCATGCTTGCATGATCGTGTGTTAATTAGGAAGTAAACCACGAGACATTTTAAGGGAATCATGTGTAACATGCTAAGGGTATTAAGGACATTTCTCTTCTCCACTAATCTATCTGAAAAATCCTAGAACTATCACTTCTTCTGGAACGGAGGAAGTACTTTCTAATGATCAAACTTTTGTTTCTATAAATTATATATTATAAGAGAGATTATAAGTCAAAATATATTTTTTGAAGACCACAATAAATCAAATCGTGTTTTATATTTTGAGACGGAGGGGGTATAATTTAGGGCCCGTTTAGATGTGAGAATCGGTTCTAATTCTCTTCAAAATCACTAGAAACACTCCCAAGCTGTCAAACACAATATTGATTGTAGGTAGAAACGTTAATGATTCCCACTTTTTGTACTACAGACCAGAATCGCCTCTAGAGTAGTTTCTCTTAATTATATTTCTTATGTTCCGGTCTCCCATCTATTCTAGAAATATTTCTAGTGATCCTCTTCAAGTGAAACCAATTAAAATTGCTGGCTTTTGATTTGTTCTTCACCCAATTCTTTGTAAAACATATATTTTTATGACTTTTTCATGTAAATCATTGATTTTCGCCATCTTTTAGGAATCAGAATTCGACTAGCTAGCCAAATGATTTGAGAAAGCGATTCTGGTTCACCCGAACAAATGTTTCTATAATATAATAAGAAAGTTTAGAAACCATTCCAAAGAATCTGAATCTCTAGCAAACACACCCTTAAAATCAACTAAAAATAAAATTAATACATATAACGAAAAATATTAGTAACAATTCAACTCTCGAGCAAACGGTGACGTTCGTTTCGTTGAAATTTAGCTTATGCTGATTCGTTGGGAGAGAAAAGCACTGGTCAGTCGCTAAAAAGTAGTGCTGAAGCAGTGCACTCTTGACAGAACAGGGCCTGCTATGTCACGTGCTGAACCAGTCACCTCCTCACGGTCAGTCAGGCACAGGTTGACAGCACTGCAGCAGCATCCTATAACTCGTAGTATTCGTTAACCTTGAATCTGTGTCATCAGTCAAAAAAAGAAAAACCCCCTTTGAATCTCTGTTAAGAAGTACTCTTTCCGTCAAAAAAAAAAAAAGCGCAATCCTTGAACCTGGATATTTATTTTGGACGGAGGGAGTAGATATCGAGTAATCGAGATCGCAGAGGGTGTATCTGTTAAAAAACGCCCACAAATCCCATTCCTCCTCGTCTCTCCTCCCGTCCTCCGCCTCGAGACGCCCGTCTCCTCCTCGCTTTGCCCCCCACGAGGCAATTCTAAATCCTCGCGCAGAAGATCGGATCCTCCGTGGGTTCCGCATCGGTGCTTGCCCTCCCTGCTCGGATTTCTGGCAGCCCTTTCCTCCCCCCCTGAATTCCTGTGCGGATTCCCTCCCCTGCCCCGGCGGTCGCTCCTGTTGCCTGTTGGGATCTTGGGAGGAGGGGTTGGTGGGGGTGGAAGGCGCCCGCGATCCGGCCGGCCCGTGGAGATGGCCGGCGGGAAGGAGCCGATCGAGGTGAAGTTCCGGCTGTTCGACGGCACCGACATCGGGCCCAGCAAGTACGACCCCAACACCACCGTCGCCGCGCTCAAGGAGTTCGTCCTCGCCCGGTGGCCGCAGGGTGAGGAGACCTGTCGACTGCTCTGCCCGCTCTTTCTTCTCTCTCTACTATGATCTCGCTTCAGTTGCGTTGCGTATATATACAGCTCTGCTATGTTGATGCTTGCTGTTTCGGGAGGTTGCTTGTTCCGCTGTCCTGCCTTTACCCGTTCGGCCGTTTGGGAACAAGAAACGCCATTTCGGACCACGGTTCTTGTGGGTTTGGGGCATGCAGCTGTTACTTTTCGTGTTGCGATTTGCTTGCAATCCAAGATCCACTGGTCATGTTGCTGCATGGAATGGGATGCGTGATAGTTGTAGGATGAATTCAGTTAGTGCGCTGTTTGTTCTGATCGTGCGGTAGTTGGTTATTCAGACCCTTGTCCAGGTGATGTTTTTTAAAGCCCCCTTACCTGTAGTAGCAACACTGCTACCTTCCATGCCAGAGTTTAGATGTAGAAATTCTTGCCTTGTATTTGAGATGGATAGATACTCCTGCCTGTGTTTGGTTTCCCTCTTTATTGCATGGTGTATAGGGATGTGCAGAGTTTTTTTTTTTTTTTTTTTGTTCCTGATGGCATGACCAGAGAATTTTGCTACCTGCTAGAACTCAGAGTGCATATTTGGTAATTGGTCCTTTGCAAACATGTGATGGCAGGACCATTTCCTGAGATTCTGTGGCTCAATGTGACTGCCAGTCTTCTTACCTCGTCATGTCCATAGATGGGCATCAATATTTTGGTGTTATTTTTTTACTGAATTCTGAACAACTAGGGGATCCTCCTCTTAGTAGCACACTAGCACTTTGTTGAAGCTAGCCATCAGAATGTTTTGTTGGTTTATTAAGACAGATATGACTGGATTAAGCTTGTAACCGTAAACACGGAGTGCATCTGAGCATCTGCATGGACAGGGCCACATTCAACATGTGGTCACATGAAAGTACTAGAAGAAACAACATTATATGCAGTATGAGCTTTTTCTACCATATCTGTGTGATAGTTCCACAAGTAAACACTAGATTTTGTGAAACTGGGCTGCTGTTTGTGTTTGGTGAAGTTGACAAATTCTAGCGGGCTTAAACTGAGAAAGAATTCAGAGGTGGCAAGAAGCTTCAGGTCTTATTAGCGAGTGATTAATGACTATGGAAAGTTCACAGTAATAAGGAAACAATCATAACACAATATGAAAAGTTCACAGTAATAAGGAAACAATCATAACACAGTTAACCATATTTCAGGGGTTTTCCTTGATGAATGATAATCTGTCCAGAACTGGGAGTTAACAGTCTTTTTTTATCACCTTATTGTCTGTCATTAATATTTTCAAACGCTTCATTTTTGGCATTTCCTCTGAATATATTTTTGTTTAGCTACTGGCATATTTTTCAGTCCTCCAGAACCTTTGTGAACTATATCTGTGTTGATAGTATTTTCCATATATGTTCACAGATAAAGAAATAGTTCCAAAAACTGTCAATGATGTGAAGCTCATCAATGCTGGAAGGATACTGGAGAATAGCAAAACTCTTGCTGAATCTCGAGTCCCAGTTGGAGAAGTTCCTGGAAGTGTGATTACAATGCATGTTGTTGTGCGGCCTCCTCAATCTAACAAAAGTGGTAATATTCTTTCTTCCTCAAAATTGTTCAAGTTATTTTCCTAATCTGTTTGATGAGTTCCCTGTTCTAAGCTCCAGATGCTTGAAATTTCTTGTGTCAGTGTAATTGAAATTTTGACCATCACCCTCTAGATACAATTAGTTAAATGCTCCTGCTGAGCTATGTTTTGCAATCTCACCCCAAAATAGAAAGAATGTGTATTGCTTATTTAAGTGTATTAATGCAGTTCATCATTGTTAATTTCTAGGTCATAGCATTTTCTAGGTCCTCCACTTAATGTTGGTTCTCTATTCAAATATTTGTGGCCCTGAACTCTTTAGGCATTGGATTGAATTTAGCTCTTCTATCCTTAGTGCTGTTCTGTGGCAGTGATACAAAGTTATATAGCAGGACTTCTTTTGTACTTGCTGCTTTTGTTGATCACTGATCAGAAAAGGTTGCTGGTCAAAAACTTGCCTTGTCAAAACTGTAGTCAAAACTGATCTGGTATGGAGCTGGGTTGACAGGGAAGGCATACCAGAAAAGTTTGACCAAACTGCTTACGTTGACCAGTCTTCTCTTCTCCTCATGATGCTTCCATGAGTTTCTTGTCATTTTTCAGTTAATTGATTTGTTCATTATATGAAGGCGTGTTAGCTAGCTTGCAATATCTGCTGAGCGGTCTTGTATCTATACTGGTGTGTTAGTTTATTTTTTTCTTACCTATTTCTAGTTCTGTCACAAGGGCAACCTCATTGGCACACATGTTCTACACTTCTACTGCTGGACGATACATACATACATACGCACATATATATGCTTGCATGCATGCATACATTGTCTAAGTGCATCGTTCTGTGTTGATTCCATGCCATTCATTTTGAAATAATCCTGCTTAAAAAATATCCTTAAAATGTTCTACCTCCCTTTTTCAGAGAAGCAACAGTCAAACTCTCCGAAGCCGAACAGATGTGGATGCACGATATTGTGACGTTGATGCAAGTAGCAATGTGTATATCGGTGACCACAGGGATCACAAGTTCATTTAACAATTGATTCTTGCATCTATTCTTCACAGCCTAAGCCTAGACATGGTGTTACGGCCAGTCACATCTGCTTGAGAATTTGATGCTTGCGATCGTGTGTTCGAGTGTGCAGGAAGGATAGTTCACGGGGTCCTGGTAAAACCCTTAAAACGGTGTGGAGTCAAAGGAATTGGATGTTTGCTATTGTGTAATGTGTAGAGATAGTGATACCAGAAGTGAGTTGCTGCATAGTACATCGGAGACAATTCTTTTTCGTAGCTCGGTTGCGTATATCGGTATATGTGTTTTGTAATAGAAAAAAGATGACTGACCGTCCTTGTTATAAAGTGGTAAGGAATGCTGGGGTTTGGCATGGGACGATGAAAGTGAATAATGACCAGTAATACACTAATACTTGTTTTGGCTATTGTTGGACCCTCGGGCATCGTCTCCACCGGCGAGCTCGCCAACGCTTTTGGAACAGAGCCCCCTGTTTCTGGTGGCAAGTGAGCTCGTAGGCCTTCTTTGCAACAAAGTAAAATAGAGAAATTCGAAAGAATTAGAATAGACCCTCTTTTGAAAAAAAAAAAAAAATATTCTATCTCCTTGAGCTATTGTTGTAGTCTGTTTTTTCCCTCGAACTTTAAAAATAGATATCTTATTCCCTTTAACTCTTAAAATCATTCAGATTGCCTCACTGGCCTAGTTTGAAGTGATTTTGAAGGTGGATTTATCTTTCTTTAGTTAACAAATTTGGTAAATACTTGATAAGGTTTTTAAACCATAGAAAATATCTCAAAGTTCCTAAAATCTTCGAGAAAAATCATTGATATATACTGGAAAACTAAGAATCCAAATAAAATATTTAGACCTCATGAAAATATCTCTAGACACTTCAAAAATAGATTTAGTTATAGAAAAATAGAAAAGTATCCAAAAAATCTAAAAATTTCCCAAAACATTCAGCATCAATGTATGTCATGCTGTCCGTGTCTCATATTTTTTTCCCATGCAAATTTTTTAGAACATATTAATACGTTGATTAGAATGTTTTGTGAAGTTTCTATTTTTTCAACATTTCCCCATTTTCTAGATCTTAATATATTTTTTGAAGCTTCTAAAGATAATTTCACAAGGTCTAAATTTTTATTTGGATTTGTGGTATCCCAATCTATCTCTAGTTTTTTTTTGGATTTTTTAGAAACTTAAGAGACATTTTATGTGATTTAAAATCCGTATCAAATACTTATCAGAAAATTTTAAACTAAGAAAATACAAAATCATCTTTAAAACAACTTTAAACCATGGCAGTGAGGTTTTGAGTGCGCTTTTTGAACTACATCCCCTTAATTTGTTGGCCCTTGCAAAGTTCCGCCCATAATACCTGTGGTTGCATCCTGAAAAATAGCTGCACTCTGCTCGGAACAGAGAATCCGGCGAAGCCAGAATCCAAATAGGTTAGGAGATTCAAACTCTTTAGATTTGGAAAGAGGCCGAGTCCAGCTTGAAAGAGTCCGCTATGCAATAGGTTAAGGCAAGCAAGAAAGAATCCATTCTACACTTTTCTGATTGCTATTTCTCAACACATCTATTTCTCTCTTCTAGCCCCACTACCCTTCTTTAATTTCCCACTATGGCAGCTACAGGCTAGACTGCCAGAGACACCGACACCTGCTGGTTTAAAATCTTGCCAATCTTCTCAGAAAAGTGCCCCCACAATGAAATCAGCACATAGAACCTGCTCATCATTGGGAATGGGAACTAACAGCCTCAGTAAAACTAGTTTTCAATTTCTTTCACTAGTTTCCATCTCTCTTTGTTATGCCTATCCACAACAAACTATATTATTTTGGAAATGATGAAAACTAACTACTGACTATGATATGTAATCCAGAAACATGACATCCTTTTGTTGGAGATCACACAAGTGGCCATGCACCATACAAGAGCTGCAATGTTGAAGTGATAGCTTTTTGGAGATTGTTCACCATATACTCAAACACAACCAATAACAAGGGCAGATCCAAGTAAACCAAGAACAAGAAGGCATTAGTTGAGATCTATGTTACTCTCATGTTGGTCAACAAGATTAGTTACAGCACCTAAAGAAAGGCTATTACCATAAAATTGATCATTGCCTATATTTCTTTTTTCTTAGCAAACATTGGCTATATTTCTGTAGATGTATAGTTGTCCATGCATCTGAAGTACACTAGTATCTTAAGTTATAAATAAAATTGGACACATCAAAGCACTTGATTTTCCAAGTTTAGTATGGCGCAGTGAAAGCACTAAATTTATATTGTACTGTGAGTAAGCAAGAACAACAATCGTCTTACCATTTCAAGATCTTGCTTGCAGATGCAATTTTGGCTTCAGGATCAACAATCAGTCCTCCATTCCTTAGGAAATCACGTGCAGCTTCCATCAATTCTTTATCAATATCTCCTGGCGAGTAACACCTAAGTGCAGGTCCAGATTTGGTGCCACATACTAAAGCAAAGTGAACAAGAGGTTCATGGTATGGAAGGGCCACCTGCAGTTACAACGAAGAAAATACAGTGAAAATATTTTCTCATCACAAATCTAGCTAACTCCTGGCCGACATGTAGGACTCGGTAATTAGTCAGAATAGTGTTTATAATGAATGAAGGGCGGCCTGGTGCAAGCGGTAGAGTCTTACCGCCTGTGACCGGAAGGTCTCGGGTTCGAGTCGCGGTCTCCTCGCATTGCACAGGGGAGGGTAAGGCTTGCCACTGACACTCTTCCCAAGACCCCGCACAAAGCGGGAGCTCTCTGCACTGGGTACGCCCTTTAGTGTTTATAATGAATGCTGAAATGTATCAGCAGTGTAGTTCTGCTATAATGTAGCAAGGGTTGTGGGCTTGTGGCTATGTATGCCTGTTTAGGAAAGTTGGTAAAGTTCTAGGCCTCTGGTGGATACAACCACCTCTATTGTGGGAGTGTGAGTAGACAACTTCTATGACAATATGTTTTACTTTCTTTGGCGGGTAGTATATTTGAAATCTAAACTTTGTTAACAATACCTGCTGAACCTAACTATCTGACTTTCCAGAGAGACAAAACGGAATATAGTAATTACTATTACTAAGGATACGATGGTTCGTTTGATGGGCTATCTATATTCCTTCTATCTGCTTCTGCAATCAACGACTAGAAACTCTTCTTGACAATACATATTCAAATTTTTAGATGGAAATCAACAAACAAACAACCAGCATTACATTGCATCAGTATGAAATTATATCAACTAGCAGTGGATTACTGAATTTTTCGTAGGGTGTCAAAACGCGTGAAAACTAAAGATGTCTATCTTTGCAAGAGAAAGAGAGGTTCTTTGTTTTGAATAGAACATTTTTTTTTCATCACGCAATTCACATATCAAACGATTTCGCTTAAACTCCCATATCTAAGGAAAACTGCAGGTTGAACATATATCCAGTCTTGAAAAGAAATGTAAATTCTATAATGTCAGTTCAAGCAAAATTCTGAACATCTATTTGGTGGCAAGGGTAGAAATGAGAAATTTCATGGAACAACAAAAAAAAATTGACACATACACCAAGAAAAACAAAGAGGATTCAAGGCACCAATGCGAAAAAGGAAGTGGGTGCAAACAGAGAACTATGTTTAGCTTTTTGAATCGGATCTGATATGTTCACCTTGGATCTTTGGTCTTTCTGCCCGAAAGGTTTGGCAATGTTGTATGGTGGCCTTTGGTTGCCAAGTAGAATGCCATTTTGGATCGCTGACAGTGAATAAGCACATCCACCAATGACATACTTGAAATCTCCAAAAAAGTTTCTTCTGTCCAGTGGTCCAGCAGGATGGCCACATGTCACTAATGCATGGATAGCCATCATATTGTAGACATTTATGAAGAAAGCAAGCTTTTCTTCACGTCATAAATCATCAATTTCCACCCTCTGGAGCTCCTCAACTGTTCTAATATATCTATGTAGGAGAAACGAGAGTTAGTGCAATGCACCCATCATCACAACTGGGGACCCCAAACAGAAAAACTAAGTAATATGTGTTCAAAAGAAAATTTCTATTTATGTATTTACAGCATAACATATAAAGAGACAAGCTCAAACAACATATCAAGGTCTACTCATTACATTATGAACCTATACACCTAAACATATGTATTAACTCAAAATCTGCCAGAAGTAGCTAGAACAACCAACAAAATGTTATCGTTGTAGTATATGAAGGTAAACAAGACATGGATTATGCAGTATACTTTAACTTTTGCATCTTAATCAAGTCTATGAGGCCAAGCACTAACCTTTTAAATTCCTCAGAACCTTGGATGCTTCTGTAGTCAACATGTCTACCATCCACTGATACATAAGCTTCAAAAATGGCACAGGATAATAACCTCAGTCTTGATGCCACTTCAGCAATGGGCTTCGGTGCAACATCCATGATGCCCATCATGATCCAGGAAACGATATAGGTGGTTTCCATCTTCAAAGACATTTTCACTGCAGTGTCACCAAGTGTTACAATATTAACAACCCAAATTGTCAACCGGTGCAGATGGATGTAATAGAAAGGGCGTACCCAGTGCAGAGAGCTCCCGCTCCGTGCGGGGTTTGGGGAAGGGTGTTAGTGGCAAGCCTTACCCTCGCCTGTGCAATGCGAGGAGACCGCGACTCGAACCCGGAACATTTCCGGTCACAGGCGGTAAGACTCTACCGCTTGCACCAGGCCCGCCCTTCTAGATGGATGTAATAGAAATGCTAATTTTAAAACTTACTCTAGAACATGAGGAAAGAAGTATTTTCTTGCCAGCTTCCTTCCAAATTCCACTGCCTACATGGATAACAGGAATCTATGAAAAAATGGTAGCCATACAATTTCCAGTACGAGGCAAAAAATGCTTGATTGAATGAAATATCCTTGCACAATACAATGGCATAAAACATGTAATTTTTCCATCTATAGCTAAATAAAAACTAGTACCAAAGTTAGAGAAATCAAGAATAATGTTGTTCAAAAGCCATGTTGAAAGGCGTAACATGGCTTAAATAAAAGAGTAATTTTAACATGCAGCATAGATGTTTTACCTCATCTCTCTCCAAATATTGATCTTCTGATATGAAATCCACAGCTTCACTACCAAGAAAGCAGTTACTAAATCTTCTCATCTTATAGAATCTATCCTTAGGAGTGATAGACTCTCTCATTTTTCTGACAATGGTTGCCAACTCATCAATCTTCCCACTTCCTGATTCGTCATCTTCTCCAGGTAATAAGGGGGCAATGGAGCAGAAGATGAGGGTTCTTCATTGAACAGAACACCGATATTATCATCAAGTATGCCAGAAACTTCCATTTTCTTCAACTCAATTAACCCTCCAATTAGTAGATCCTACGTTACACGGATACGTATCCGATACGGATCCGCAGTGGATACGCGGCGGATACGTATCCGTGAAGTATCGGCAAAAAAATAAATAAAACTAAATTCCGATACGTGGACTGATACGTATTTGGGCGTTTGTGATACGGCCTAGCCCACCCACCACTGACCTGCGATATACTATGGCCTATCCCACACGCACTGGGTGGGCTACCCGCCAGCCACGCGCCACGCCACACCCACGTTGGCGAGGTCCGTGTTGCATCTGCGCCGGGCGGACTGCCCGCCGGCCACGCGGCGTGCCGCACCCCGCGCTGGGCGAGCTCTGCGCTGGCGAGGTTCGCGTGCTGCATCCGCGCCGGGCGGGCCGCCCGCTGGCCACGTGCTTGGGGTGGAGTGGGGCGCAGCCATGGTCGCTCGGCCGCCTGCGCCGAGAAGGACCTCGGTCACCGGCGTGGGAGGAGGAAGGCATGGCGCCGGTGGAGGAGGAGCAGGCCAACAGGAGCACAATCGCAGCAGGCTAGCAGGGGCACCGTGTAGGGGAGAATGTTGGGGGGAGAGAAAGAAGATTAAAAAATCTAATCTTGGGCCCAGCTAAGCACAGGCAGGGAAGACGTGTTGTACATTTATATGTCAAAAATACCCCTCCAACTGCCATGTAGAAATAGCACCTAGAAGCTGTGAAATGATTGGAGTAGTCTCTAGAGAGCATCCATACATACGCTGCCAATAATTTTAATGTCATTTATTATTATTTTTTATAAAAAATATTATTTTTTATAAAAAATATTATTTTTTATAAAAAATAATAAAACGTATCCTCATATCAGGTTTTCTCAAAAAATGGCCGCGTATCCGTATCCGTCCGATACCGATACATGCATGTGTATCCCTGCTTAGAGTAGGTCATTAAAGTACACTTTTGGTACAGTGGATGATCCAGTATTCTTCTCCAATTCCATCTTTCTACCAGGGAAGATGTCAATGTTAATCTCAACATACTTGAGCCTTTTCTGATGCAAGAATAGACGAACCATTTTGCAATCTTCACACCCCAGTTTTGTGTATATTCGCTCTGTTCGTTTGAGCTTGTTTAGCTGATAAGCCATGGCTAAAAGTACTGTTGACTGATTTCATGTATGAGAAAAATATTATTCATTGGCTGATAAGTCATGGCTTATAAGCCAAATACGACTAAGCGAACAGGCTGATTATTATCCTACTCTTCAATGTTGGTGGCTCCAACAAACCAGGCACATTTTCATTCAATGCTTCCCCAGTTACAGAAGTATCAAAATCTCAGCCAATTTTAATGAAGTTCAGTGGGTTCCAAGAAGTCCTTTCCTCAGATTTCTGCTGCACCTCCTTAGGCTTGGATTCAGCATCTGTCCCGGTCTTCTCGCAGTCCATGCATTCTGAACCAACAGTCTTGTCAGCTTCAACCTTAGGGCCCGTTTAGTTCGCCCGAATTCGGGCGAGGAATCCAGAATTGCACAGTGTTTCGGCCTTCTTAACTAAACAGGCCTGCAAACTTTGGACCGCCCAAATTCCTGACACAGTATGTGACAAGCCCTGGAACACCTCACAGAAGAGAAGACCCAGCATGTGACAAGCCATGCACAACGTACTGCACATTTCCTGACACAGTTTGCAGAATTTGGGTAAACAGTAACTCCAAAGTTTGGGGGTGCAGACTTTGGGAACTAAACAAGGGCTTAAATTCATTCTCGTCCTTTTTGCCAGAAAGGCGCCGCATAAATGTTGAAACTGCAATTGCACTCTTTTCTTTAACAAAATTTTTTATTGCAACAGCCCGGTCATTCAGTACAGACCCCTGAGCCTCTGAGTCAAGTTCCACAGATTGATTGGAAGAACTCCTCGTTTCTTCTATTTCAGGAACCTCAGTTCCATCAAACACTGGCTCTTCAGATTTGTCTTCAGCAAGAATCTCTTTTGTGATCTCGTTTGAGCTTGCACATTCCATGACATCTGAGCTTGTCCTTTCATTCATTTGTCCATTTAAGCCCTTTTCTGAATCATCATCTCCCTCTTGGATCTGCACTTCTGATTCATTGTTTAATTTGTCATTCGAGGGACTTGGTGCTTCTTCTACATTTAACATTTCTGTTTTCCTTGACAAATCCCCTTCATCTTCGCAATTTTGTCCATGATTAGAAGACTCTTCTGTGACAGCAATTGTTTTGTCATCCTTGTCTGTACTCTCCATGATACAAAACAGCCTTCAGCAGGGCACCTGTGCAATCATTGAGACATGCAGTAAATTGTTAATATACAATATGACGAACGTAATGAACACATCTCAAGTGTGAAAAAAATATTGAGGATTATGCTACCCTACCACAGAAACTTTACACAAGTAGGGATGTTGGCATTTCCACACGAATACCAACATATATGTTAAAAAATGGTATACATAATAAAACCAAACAGATGGGAAGCTATCCTTCCTAATTTAGGTCCCATGCAATTTTGCAATCCAATGCAGTCAGTATCTTGTACAAATCAGCAACTTACATGTGTAAGACAAAGTTCATTAGTTTTAGCGGCACACACAAACTACGTAATCAGATCATTTTGGAATGTCAAATGTAGCAGGTTAATCATCCCCTATCCTGAAGAATGTGTGCAATGTTGAATGTTCACAGCTCAAAGATTGTGTACTGCATGGTAAAAGCTCAACCAATCCTCAAAAGCAGCAAGGACTCTTGGGCAAGTTCTCAACAGCACATCCTTAGAAAAACCACTCAGCTATCACACCACCCATTTCAACTGCAGCAACTACACAGAAAAAATGCACACAAATGTTGAAATTTGAACATGCCGTATTGAACAATAGGCCGTGGAGCCACCAAACCCTGGTTCATCACAAACTACCATCAAACTACTCACCTTAAATAACGCACTCAATCCAATATGTAACTAGATGATCGATCACGCATAAAAGGGACCAGAACAAGTATTATTATCCTACCAAAGAAGAGCAGGAACCACGGTATGATGCCATGATGGATGATCCATATGCATGCAGGTGGGAACATTTTACTGATAGAAACAGACTTGGAACACACAAGCATGGCAATCTAGCTCCCAACATGAGTTGTGTCTCCATTGAATGATTGAAACATTCCCCCCACAAACCTCTCGCGTGTCTCGACCAAGTCCCCCAACCCCAACAGGTTACATCCATTAAAACGCCCAGATCAGCCGCTCATAATCGACAGCACACCATCACCTCACACACGAACGCTAAACACCATCACCTCGCACATCCATTAAAAGCTGCCGGGCTGGGGACGTTTTCCACTCATCACGTGGGTCTGCCTTCTGCGGATCGGGCCTGTCGAGGCTACGGTCGAGTGCAGAGGATAGACGAGGATCCGAAATCCGTTTGTTCCCGAGCAGGTTTGACTGGGAAGAAGGTGAGCAGGAGCAGGGTTTTGACCGTGTGCCGGTTGAGATCTAGAGTTGTGTTTTTTTTTTCTGGATGGAGGGGATAGATTTGTATTTTATACAATATATTATTTTTTGACGCAAAATAAAATATATTTTATACAATATATTATTATAACAGTATAACTTTTTATTATTAGTCATTACTTTTAAGCATCTTCAATAAGTACATAATCATTAACATTAAAATTAATATAACTAGCCATCATGGAATAATTTTTTATATAATTTCATCTAGTAGTATAATCCACAAATATGCAAATATTGATGGTATCGAATATCCATCATTTTATAAAATTTATTTTAATTAGATAGAGAAAATGATTGAAAAAAATAGGTTCAAACACATCCATCATCTATACCATGAGTACTGATACAAATATTTATATTTCATTTCAAGGTTTAGTGGACACGGGATAGTTTTTGAAAAGAAAAAATATTGGTCCATTTGGTAATTTAGGAATGATATGGTTTTTGAAAATAAAAATTCTTCTCCTTTCAGGTTATCCTCATGGTTATTCATTGACATCATATGTGGGCTATCCTCCAAAAGCCGAACACACAAGATTTGGTTGTGGTTGTTTTGTAGCACTTGGTACATGTGGCCATGGTTATCTTCTCCCAGGCACATGGATAACGTTCTAGTCTTCGGATTGATAGTCACTAGAGTGTGTGTGGTTTACTCTTTTGATGGTTGTGTGCTTTCTATCAGGCAGAGACCAGAATAATTGTTTTCAAGGTTTTGTATCAACTCGATGTAATGTACTTAAATATTAATAAAAGCTTCCTTTATAAAAAAACTCAATGCAACATGACTATAAGGCTTACTAGCAAGCAAAACCATACAAGCTTTCATGCCCAACACTAGAATGTGCACTTCATGGAGCACAAGCTTATTACCTTCCATATGTATGAGTGCTCCACAAATTGTTGAGGCGCATGTTAGTAGTAGTTGAAGCATTGAACTGATGAAGGAAAATATGACCAATAGAAAACTATTCATCAGGCAACTAATTACATGTGATCCATCTTCTTCCACCATAAATTAAAAGACAATCACGGGTGATAGCCTCACAGCCAAAGATATGGTAAAATTGTCACCAAATATTATTAGAAACTGAAGCAAACAACATCTCAGCCTCCACTAAAGCAAACAGTATGGAGATCAAGTCACACAAGCAAACATTAACAAACATATAGTACATGAAAATGGAGCATCATCAGATGGTTTGATGCAGCGCAAAATTCTTGCGCATTTATTCTTAAACAACGACATGGAAATTTGTGGATTGGTTGCTGTCATGCACTCTCTCATGAAAATCATTTCCCCCCATAGTTAGATAAAACCAGGGGTAGCTTATCCAACTCATGGAGCATGGGACGATATGCAGTAGAAGGCTTTCAGCTCCTTCCCCTTTCTCTTCCTCTTCCTCCTCCCCTTCCTCCAGTACTAATAGCCTTGTTGCACCTAGCAGAAGTCCCTGTATTTTTTCAAACATGAAGTATATAATAATAGACCTCAAATATAGCACTACAAATCTCCATTTTAAATGTAATAAACATTGATTTTATAACCACATTATTGACATAATGGAATATGGGTATGATCTTTTAAGTGTTGTAGAAAAATAAACAATGCATAGAAAGAATTCATACCACTACTTTCAGCATCATCGGAATCCACTGCCCTCTTTGATACCAAAGAACATATTAAAACAATGTTTAGCATTGTACAATCTTTTCTAAATACCAAATGAGCATAAAAGATGTCACTGACAATCCATATTTTCAATTTATGCAGTTGTGCTTTTAATGTGACCGAACACTGCACTAAAACAGTAGATGCAATTGAAAATTTAACTTTCTATCTACATACTTCAAACTTTAAAGCACAAGAGGGAATAATCTACTAATGGATAAAAAACAACAAGTACTATTGGAGTTTTCTAGAAAAAAAGAAGTGGCTACCTTCTTCTGCAATTTTCTTCCATTGAACATATCTGCTCCTTTTGACGATGCTTTTGGAAGCAAGTCAACTTTAGGTTTGGAGTGAAACTTCTTCATGTAATCATACTGAGAGTAAAGCTACAAGTCAATTAAAAAATTACTAGGTTTTTGGTTTTGGACTAAACATTTGTAAGTGAAATTGCATATCAAGCTAATGGTGCATACAACTCAATATAACATATCTCATCAAGCTAGTAAAACAACATGTTTAATCAATCATATGCAAGTTGGAGGCTAGATTATTGTTAATTTAGTGCCACTCTGTAGCCAGATTTTGAGAATTACATTGTAATGTCGATGCACTATAATGGTTGGATGGAAGAATATGACAAAGTCCACTTACTGAAATAGGACATTACTTTCTAATGGTAACTACTTTTTTTCATTATGTTTCTAATTACACCAATCTACCCCCTTTTATGTCAGAACCTATATCTCATGAAACCTTTCTAGTTTAGAAGGTTATCAATAATTCTTTACTTCTATTATCACAATTTGAAACACTCATTAATATCATGGTTTCCCTATGTTTATATATGTGAAAGTTAAGCTTTCTAGTTCTTTATAGTTTCTTCTAGTAGCAATAGAGCTTTTAGAGTTCTTGATACTTCTTAATTATTCATTTGATCTACATTGGAGTTAGCTCTCACATTTGTATTTTGAAATGTGATCTCACAACAATATATTAGTTTAACACATAATGTTAATTCTACCATTGTTATTGTCTCCCTCACAAATTCCTTGTTAGTGGCATCATTGAGGTCCCCTGACATTCTAGATGAGTAGAAAGACATTGGCACTAATCATTTCCACCTTATATGCAATGCCATAGCAATGTAATTTGAAGTCATAGCTAATCACAAAATACAACAGACTAATAACCAAGCCTCAAATACACTTCCCCAACATCCTAAGAACCTATAACATGCACTCATTGACCTCATACAACTCAGAATAAGAGATTAGTTGCCTCTCACCACGAGGGCTCCCACTAGGAATACAACTAGCTTAGATACAGGACTACCCTTACTGCTATACAATATATCAGCACAAGTAATAGGCTGACCGTGACATGATTTATGGCTAACATAGGAAACAAGGGGTCTACTAGATACTTGGTTCGACGTCATCTCTCTACATTGTGATCTTCTCCACATGTGTTGCCTATTCTGCAGCAGCCAACTAACCCACGACATTAATAACTTGCCACTATACCATGGCAATGGCCTTCAGCGGTAGTAGTGTACAAAAGGTCCTACTCTATGCCCCCATGGCATGTTCTCCAATTAGCTTGTTTGGTGCTACTGCATCAAAGGCCCTAATCAGGTGGTTTCTTGCTCTCTTTGACACTAGGACCGAGCAAGTTGTTTCCTTCTATGCTTGGTGCACCTTCGTAGGCCTTCATTTGTTGCCTTGCCATTCATGTTTTGTCCACCATTTCTGCACATCAATCTCTGGGGGTTAGAGCCACTAGGAATGGCTACCCCAACACAACAAAAGTCCTATCAATGATGCTGGTTCCTAGAGCATCCACCGCACCTAGGTCAAGATCGGCTACCTAGGCCATTAAGTCCGACGTGATCAAGCTAAGCTATAGGTCCTAAATGAATGGCATTCTCACAACCCTGAGTAGTCACCTTAGTGTTCAACTGTGCAACTATATCCTAGGTGGACTCCAGTGGGGTATACTCTGGAGATAGAATGATGTCATTCGAAGGAACACCTTGGGAGAGTGGAGAAGGAAAGCTCCCTATTGATTTCCCACTCGCACATGTCTGCCAGCTCCCAAGCATGGGGTCCCAATCCATCCTAGAGTAGTAGGGATCAACCTACATATTGTCATTCATATAGAATGTAAAAAATCTAGCGTTGGATTGGGATGTAGCGGTGTGGAGGTAGGACCCCCACAACTGGTCATAGAGCTCCATTAAGAAGCACGAAGACAAGGCCCAACTTTGATATAGAGTGGAATTTCTCATGAGTCCACTCTCCACACTACAACTCACGCCCACTCCTATCATCACCAAGGGATAGGCTTGCCATTGTCCTCTTCTGTGTGTATTAGTTCATCACAATGTAGGACACTAGTTGGTGAGCGCAAACTATGATGGTCCCAATCTACACATCACATAGTGGTAGATCCCCTGCATGCTGAGAGTTTGGGACATAGCATTGCAGGTTCCTTATACAATCCTTGCTATAGCCTAGCACCGATGTCTGGCCGATGAGCGTGTTTGCTAATGCTTTCCTTCTCTATGGTGGTCACCACCCCCGGTGTGGCGAAAAAGATTGAGCGCCTAGCGTCCATGCTCTATTAAGCAGAGAAGGCCTCTCCTCTACTCACGATCCTCATACTCATCTTGCTGGCATCACTAAATATGTGGTCATGGAGCTATACAATCCGAGTTCCAAGTTAGAGTGAAGTGTTCATTCAGCACCCCAAGAATCCAGTTGTCAAAGTTGTGGATACTCATGTACTCACCAGAATTAGAAGACTCCAAGGATGAAAAGCCACTCTAATGGGAGCTTGTACTATGAATGCACAACAAGCTCTATTCCTCATGGAAGTCTACATAGATGAGCGGTTTGAATACCTCATTGTTCTTCTACACATTCCCAACTTGCTTTGGAGCCTGGCCAAGTGGCCAACATGCTATGGGAAGATGGTCATCCTCTTGGACCGTGGAAGAAAGTTTAGGCTCTGCATCCAAACCCACAACTAAAACACATCCATGGCATCCTAGAAAAAGGTTCTAGTCCTAATCCAACCAAGCAAACAATTTTCCCTAGCATGTCCTTAGCCACCAAGCCGTTCCACATGCACTAGTAAGTTCTCGATGGCAACACGGACGTGGTATACCACCAAGTGGTGTCCATGTCATGGATGGATGTCGAGTTGATTCCCTCTATGTGTATCATCCCAACATGGAGAGCCATATCGCACTACATAGGGTAGTTAACAAGGGCGAGGAAGTTTTTTGGGTGACGGTGAGCCATCCACATTTGAATCAAGGCACACATATCATGTTGATGACCACCCACGTGATAGCCATGGTAGAGGAATGCTCCCACTATGTAGCATGGGCCACCATTAGCATCACCCTAGTGTGGTTCTTGGTGATCTCATATGCAATGGATTAGGAGGAAAGCACTATCCATGCCCTCCACTGCCCAGTTCTTGTGGCATACTCATAAAATAGGGCATTGTCTTCACTTCGACACATTGCTTGACCCTACTATAGATGGAAGAGGAGGGAAGACCAACTGATTTATGGATTAAAGGTGAGGCAAGAGTGAATGGTGGCTTAGAAGACAGTAGACATGAGTGGATTAGGGAGAGCAGTGTGTGCCCTCGCTCTTCTCTAGCCAATCTCGGGGCAAGGTGGTCTATCAGAGGTAGACCCAGGCTTAACAACAAACATGATCTTGACAAGAGGTGAGTTGATGGTTGCAGCCAAGGCACCAAAAGCACTAGCCCTAGAAGTAGTTCTTATAGCTTGCTAGCAATCCAATGTCAATATGGGCCTAGAGTGGCCACTTAATGGAAGATGACAAAGAAGCAATATCATCGCTCTTCCTCCACCACTACATCAATTTCATTCCTTGCTAGTTTAGTGTAACAAATAGTCGAGCAGGCCACATGCATACTGAAGGCAACCACTTGAAAACATTACCATCACAGCCTAGCACATTGGCCCTACCGCTAAAGGTATGTTCAACGCCTAGGGCAAGAGGAGAGTAGGGGATAGAGTATTAGGAGAGAAAGGCACATCAATTACCTCTATTGTAGTGGTGATGGCACGCGTGCCCTGGATACATGCCTGTGTGTTAGGCGAAGTTAAGGCATCTCTTATGCCCTCTTTTGATTCGGTGTTCGAGCCAAGGCCCAGATGCGTCTCCACTCTTACCGCTTCTAGATGCTTGAAGGTGGCCACTTGAATGCTTCCCTTTGGTAGCACCACCCTGGGGCAAGTGACACTCCCTAGAGCACTAGTTGCACTCCCTAGAGCATCAACAGCTACTGGCGCAACCTCATGGGGTGCATAAGACAAGCAACATGTGGGGAGTGCCATAGGAGCCTGCTCCTCCTCTTTTAGATCTAGATCGACACCCTAGAACTTACCTTCCTTTGGATCGATCTTTTCGAAGGCACCATCTTCATCATCAATAGATCCCCAGTCTAGATCGTTGCGGGAGTCCTCCACTATGGCATCGAACTGGAAGAGCCTAATCGACTCATCCCTTGGTGCATCGGAGTTGGCTGCGGAGGCCGTGATGGTGGCAAGCGCATACGTCGGGTGGGTGGTGGCTTGGGCTAGCGCCCCGATATTGGGGCTAGTCATCGGGGGCACGAAGGTCACCGGTGATTGCGTTGGGTGGGTAGTGGCCGGGGTTGGTTCCTGAGTGCTCTCGCTCTCGCTCATGTCTTTTTCCTCTACGATTGATTTTGAGTTGTGACAATGTTCCATGCCTCCCTGCCACTAGAGGCAAAGAGCGCTACCGATGGCTATGTGACAGCCAACGAAGAGCATTTAATGCTTTGGTTGCTTAATGGTCCCATGTTGGCAAAGGGGGCCATGTGGAATAATTCAGCAAAAAATTAAGATCTGGTTGACATGGATATAATATGAATAGTTGGATATAAATGAATGATGAAGATCAGATATCTATCATGTTGTGCAAATATAGATTGAGCTTTTGAGGAATTAAATATTGTTATTGGGAATGAACTACATATATATTGTAGATTATAAACCAGTCATTCTTTAAGCCATAAATAGTATGGTTCTAGCCATCAGTAGATTATAAACCAGTCATTCCGTATATTGTTTACATCTAAATCATATCAATGTAGAGACAACTGTAAAGCTTCCTAGTGGAGATGTGCTCTATATGGAATATTTTATTTTTAAATATCACATATTACACTAATTAAATATATACCAACAACAAATTGAGGTCACTATATATCTAAACATTTCTTAATTCCGCTTACTCATTTATTCCTTTTAGGTACGCATGATTTTGTCTTCTTCCTATTCTCTTATTCTCTAGAGGAACCTACCACTAGTGTTAATATTGAAGACAAATCGAGGAAGGAGGAGAGGCACGAGAGGGCATGGATGACAAGGCAGTCTAGCCAAGAGACAATTAATCATGCCTCTATTATGGGTTGTGGCACCATGCGATTAGAGCACATAATCGTAGCGGATGCTTGGTGGCCTACGTGAGCAAGATCATGACCAAGGGCCATACAAAAATACTCTACCTGGTCCGTTAGTCATAAGGTATTTAGATAGTTCCAATCACCCTTTGTTCAATCTTTTATGGCTACGATATTAACAAATTATTTTATTTTTTATTTGGTTTGTGTTGACAGGACAAAGACATCGATTGTACACTAATTAATTGCATTTCTCATTTCTTTAAATGTCCACCTTTGATATGTAGGTTCATTATTACATGCTAATCTTCAGGAAGATATGAGAAGCGGGGGAGAACCAAACCATCTTTATTAGGTACTTATTTTTATACCAAGCTAGAAGATACCCCACGCGTTGCTAGAATTTAGAATGAAATTAAGTGGAGATGACGTGGATAGCTTGTATTATAAGAGGTTAGAAGTTAGTGGGATGATATAGATACCAGATGGATGTGCTTGAACCTATTTTTTCATTCATTTTCTCTATCTAATTATAAATGGATTTTAAAAAATGATGGATATTCGATACCATCAATATTTGCATATTTGTGGATTATACTACTAGATGAAATTATATAAAAAAATTATTTCATGATGGCTAGTTATATTAATTTTAGTGTTAATGATTATGTACTTATTGAAGATGCTTAAAAGTAATGACCAATAATAAAAATTGATATTGTTATAATAATATATTGTATAAATACAAATCTAATTAATTTCCAACATAATTAACATCATTAATTTTAATATGAATATTGATATAATTTTAATTAATATATGACCATAACATATAGTATTGTTTTTAAATATTAGACATTCAACTTATAAAGGTTAAAACTATTTAAAAGTAGTGTCAACATTAATGAAAAATTGTGTTTTATTTTCAATATTACTGATGCAATCAATATTATAATATGACTATATATAATTTATATATTCTATATTTATTGTGAGGACCGTCCAATTAATCATGCTAAATCAAGTTGTCCTTTGAGCAACGCTTGAATTAACGCAATTAATCTGATCATCTCTAGAATTGCATCATTAGTGCTATCCACTACGTGCAAACACTTAGAATCCATTGCCTTACATCAACGTTCATAACTCATACAATAGTTTTACTTTACACATAAAAGTAGTTAGGCTACATGGTAAGTTGTTCAACACAATTAAATTCATATAGTCTTGCAACAAAAGTGTATTAGTGTAATATTTCATAAAGTGCACCTCATGAACCATGCCACATCCATTGTTATACCTCTTCTATAAACCCTTCTCCTACTCCTAGTCGATTGAAGGCTCGAGAGCATAGAATAGCCAAAATCGAGGCCATCGCACCCAAAACCTAAATGTATCACCATAAGTACATGAATATACTCAAGACTTACTCAGAGGTAGATCTAGTAGTGGGGCAGGAGGGGATCAAGCCCTCCTACTGTTGCCAAGCCCTTGAAGCCCCCCTCACCCTAGCTTTTTTTTGCTATGACTGTTTAAACATCGAGAAGTAGAAGCAGGGTCTCTAGATCCAATCGCAAGGTTGACGATGATACTCTTGCCAATAGCCGAAACTTGGGGCAGCCCTTCCTGTACACTCTTGCAATCAGCCTATATTCTAGCCCAATAAGGCTTGGTCTTTTCTCCAATGTCCAACAGATCACAACTCATGTCAACTGCATGTCTAAACTGAAACCTGATCTGATCCTTCCAGCGCTTTTCTATCTGAAGGTTCAGGAGGAGGTAGTGCTTCGGTGATAAGCGGTGGTGGATGGCGCCTGGTCAGGAGGAGCAAAGGAGATCATGCTCTGGCAGATCTAGGCATATTCGTGATCTTGCAAAGTGGGAGGCATGCTCTGTGTGGCTATGCGGGCGTTGGGTGCACGGTAGTAGAACTGCGAGTGATCGCTAACCGGCCATGATGTTAGATAAGAAAGCAGTAGCCGAGGCTAGCTAATAATGGCATCACACAGTTGTTGCCGTAGGTCTACAACTTGTAGGGCAACAACGGCTGCAAGCAACCGGCCAAGAAAGGGAGGCTGAGGTATCCCTTTGAGACAAGGTGACGAGATCCTAATATACAGGTATGTTAAGCCTCGGGTCCAATGGTTCCCAAACAAAGAAGACCCCCTGAAGGGACCGTGACGCCTAAGAGGGGGATGAATTAGGCAACTTAAAAATCTACTTCTAAACTATGGCCTTGTTTTTTACCCTTAGCAAAACCTATGCAAAAAATAAACTATTTAAATGTGCAACTATAGTTTTGCTAATGTGTTGCTATCTCTACCGCAAAAGGAGTAATGTAATTAATGTAAATACGGAAGCTAAAGAGCAAGGTAGAGATATGCAAACTCTCGTCGATGACTTCGGTATTTTTACCGAGATATCGAGAAGCGCGCAAGCTTCCCCCTAGTCCTCGTTGGAGCCCCTCGCAAGGAATCCCTCGCAAGGGTCAAGCTCCTGGTTGGGTAGCTCTGTGGATAGCCTTAGGCCTTCCCCACGTGCAAGTGGGTCTCCGATGTGCCTTCTGGCAAGCCTCTCCCGGATGCTCCCCGCCGTCTTCACTATCAAGCTTTCGACCGAAACACCGCGGGCCTAGTTCCCTCTGGTACACGGTGGCGGCCACACCACAAACGCGGTTGGTGTGATCTCACAAGACTACAAGCCCCTCCGATGTACAACAATGGTGCGCGCAAGCACCGAGTGGTAAGAGGTATGCAAACCTCACTAAACACTAGGCCTAAACCTAGAGCAAGTGCATGAGCGGTGGTCTAATCAACCTAAGCACTTCGCAAAGCACCTACGCTAATCACCTGATGAATCACTAAGCACTATGCAAGTGGAGATCACTAAAATGGTGTATCAACACCCTTGGTATGTTTCCTCAGCTCCACCATACTCAAATGGCCGGTTGGGGGTTGTATTTATAAGCCCCACTGAGAAAGTAGCCGTTGGGGTCGAATTCCTGTGAAACTGCTACTGACCGAACGCTGAATCGTCCTGACCGGACGCGTCTGGTCGTCCCGACCATTGAGCCAGCAATATACTGATCGGACGCTGGCCAGCGTTCGGTCGCCTGCCACCGGACGCGTCCGGTCGTAGATTTAATGCTCTAGAACCTTACTGTACTTGATCGGACATTGCTATCCTGTGTCCGGTCAATTGCCACCAGCGTCCGGTCTAGTGTCCGGTCACCTGTCTACCAAGTCCTCTGCCCAGCGTCCGGTCCAGCGTTCGGTCACCTCAGTGAGCTCGTTTCTTCGTGATCTTGCGTATGGCTTGGTTCCAATCTTCGTGCTTGGACTTTGCTTGATATCTTGGGTCTTCTCTTGTGCTTCTAAGGTCTTTCTTAAGATGTTGATCATCGGATCACTACGTCGTCTTCGTCCAAGTCACGTCTTGCACCCTATTGAACTACAAAATAAACACTTGCAAATTCATTAGTCCAATTTGGTTGTGTTGGTCATCAAACACCAAAATCCAAAGTAAATGGGCCAATGGTCCATTTTCCTTACAATCTCCCCCTTTTTGGTGATTGATGACAACACGACCAAAGCAAGCAAATGATAAGAATTTGGAGATTAAAAACTACCTACTTGCTAGGATGCAATGCAAAGGGCAAGGTTATATGATACTAATTGACAGATACCAATTAAAACTTTACTTAAAAGCTTGTCTTGCCCTTGCAAATGTCCCCATGTGATATTATGGATTAAAGCCTAGCTTTCTAAAAAATTCTCCCATTACTTAGACTAATCCATAATTCACTTTCTTCCCTTTCTCGGACCATTACTACTTGCAAATAAATGCTTGTCTTTGGTCCTTCAAATTCTCCCCCTTTGGCATCAAACACCCAAAAAGGAATACATTAGTAGCCCAAGGGAGGGTCAAACTTTGTGAACCAAATGAAGGATTTGATTAGCATGGAATAGGTCACAAAACTTGACTATCACATTATATAGACTAAGCTTCCCCTAAATTTATGCATACATATGATAAAAAGCAAAGCATATGCATAATTAGCAATTTATTGCACAAGAGAGGTTAATCTATATAATGTATGGAGAAAGCAAATAAATATCAAAGTGAGATCAACATGGTGATATCGGTTTAGAAATACCACATGTGAAAATCAATTTGATTTCTACCAATTGAAGTATAATGCTTTCCTCCGAGGACTCCATTTTCGTTGCAATGAGACTACTACACACAAGATAAGCTTGAAAAGGTGTTACTCTCAAAGCATCCAACTTGTAGATTAAGCTCCCC